GGGGGGGGGGCCCTCTGCACAGTGCTGACCCCCAGACCCCTTCTGGGTGCCCCCAGCTGAGTGAGGAGTAAAGCACAGCGTGCCCAATCCTACCCACCCACCACGGAAAAGGGCTGCCCCCCCTCCACCCAAACCCAAGGACGGGGTGTACCCACAAGGCTCATCCCCACCCCCAGCTGGGGTCCCAGCACCCACCTCCAGCGCCCGGCACCCCGATCCAGCACCGCAGCCCCTCGCTAAAGGAAACGGCCCTCAGCCCCGGCCCAAGGAATGAGGAAGGAGGGGCCTGCGGTGCGGATCGGATCGGGGGGAGTGCCGGGCTCTGCTCCTCCCCGCGCCGGGACGGCCGCCAGCACCCAGCCGGGGGGGGGGGGGACGGACACCCAGCAGCCGCCCCCAGCCCCGCTCACCCGCGTCGTTCTCGCGCCGATCCACCTCGTCGTACACGTCCATGGCCAGCTCCTCAAACAGGCGGTTGCTGAGCTGCGGCGGGAGGGGGGAAGCATCAAGCCGGGAGCGGGGGGAGGAACGCAAAGCGCTGAGCCCCCCCACCCCATCGCTTCGCGGCCCCGTGCTCACCGCTTGCAGCTTCTTCTTGGCCGCCTTGGCCAGCTCGGACAGGTCCAGGCTGCGGGGTGCATGAGGTGGGGGGACACAAAGTTGGAGTTATTCCTATTCTGCCCCCACTGATGCTCCCCAGATGCGCCCTGTGTGCCCCAGGCTCGGGGGCTTGGGCAGACACGGGTCCAGGACGCGGGGTGGCACGGGGTGAGCAAACCCCCCCCCCTCCCGGCTGTCCCCCAAAGGGCTGTGCTGAGCACCCAGAGCCCATCCCGGCGGCACGGGGCGATCCCTGGTGTGAGTGCCGAGCAGACAATACCTCTGTGCCATGCACTTGGGGCGCACCCTGCGCTCCGGAGGCAGCAGTGGAGGGAAGAACAGGATAAAGGAGGATGTTAAACCGTGCACGTAGCCCCCCCCAGTACACAGACACACACACACACACACAGACACTCCAGGTGATGTTCCAGCGGTGGTCACAGGCACAGGGTCTCCCCCTTTGGCCCAGCGGGGACACGGGGGGGGAAAAGTGACGGCAGACGGCTGCAAGCACGGGGCACTCACCTGTCTGCCATCTGTGGGATGATGTAGTGCCCGTTCTTGTGGTCTGCACAGAGATAAAGGGTGGTGAGAGCGGCCCCCTTGAACCCTCCTAACCCCCCCATATGGTGCGACAGGCACAGCACTCACCCGGCTTCCTGCCGCACAGGTAGAAGGCCAGCCGGTCGGTCAGCTCATACTGGCACTCCACCAGCCGCTCCGCCAGCTCGTGCTGAGCCGCCTGCCTACGGGGCACAGCCGGGGTGCCACCAACTGGGCTGGCCACGTCCCCCCCACCCCAACGCAACCCCTCCACCACCCCAACGCGCTCACCTGGCGTAGTCGATGGGCGTCCTCCCATTGACGTCGGGCGCACCGGGGTCAGCGCCGTACACCACCAGCAGCTCTGCCTGCAGGATCTGCCCGGCCTTGGCAGCCACGTGCAGCGGCGTGGTGCCCTTCTCCTGCGGGCACAGGCAGCGTCAGCCTCGTGGTGAAAACACCACGACCCCCCCGGCTGTCTGTCGTCCCCCCCCAGAGCTCACCGGGTGGAAGAAGTTGGCCTGAGCACCCAGCGAGAGCAGGCGCAGGCACGTCTCCAGGTTGCCTGTCCGCACGCTGGAGTGCAATTGCTGCATGGGAAGAGGCAGCAGTCAGTGCCAGCTGTGCCACTGGCACCGAGGCGGGGTCCCCGTCACGCTGTGCCCCCACCTTGCTGAGGTCCTTGGCGGTGACGCCATCATCGTCCCGGCACGGCAGCTTGTGCACGAAGGCCAGCATCTGGTACTTGGCGCGGATGAACTCCGACTTGGTGGGGCTGGCAGACACAGGGTGAGGGGGGGGGCATCCAGCACAGCCCCCCCCCCCTCCCCCTCGCAGCCCCAACCCCACAGCCCATGCTTACTGCACTTTGTCCTGGGGGTTCGCCTTCCTGCGCCCGCTCTGCACCTGCGCCGGGTCCAGCAGCGAGTGCTCCCAGATGGAGTTGGCCCCATTGCTGGCCAAGGTGTGCACCATCTGTGTGTGGGGGGGGCATGGTGAGCGGTGGGACACCCCCTCATACCCCCACATCCTTCCCGGGTGCACCCACCTGCAGCAGCGTGGCGGGCCAGGGGCTGTGCCGCAGGTGCTTGACGATGGAGATGTGGCGGCCCAGGCTGCGGTGCACGCTGCAGCACTCGTCGCAGATGAGCACACCGCGGTTGATGGAGGCCCAACCCGGGTCTGCAGGGGGCGTGGGGTGTTA